TACCAGGTGTTCGCGAAAAGGTGAGCGTATCCTGCCCACCGATGGCACAAGTCACAAACACATGCAAAGGCAAGCCAATTGTTCACCTGAAACAACACGGAAAAATATGGTACAAGTCGAAATAGGGAATTGCATCGGACATCATTCTTGTCACTGATGCGTCAAATTTGGAAATGTTGACATCGTGTCCTCATGGATGGCTGTTGAAGGTTTCATCCATTTGCATTAACAGAAAATACCAAGTCACTTTGATGCCAGCAGAAATATGCTGCCTGCTTGTGGATTTGGTCCCAGAGTCTGTAAGCATGCAGAGTAGTGTACAATGTACTTAATACATGCAAACTGTTGAAGGTGTTATACACATGTACATAATGTGTAGTTAGGCTCAGGGGGCGGTCGGGCAGCCTAGTGGTCAAAGCGTTCGCACGTCACGCCGAAGACCCGGGTTCGATTCCCGACATGGGTACAATGTGTGGAGCCCATTTCCGCCGTGATATTGCTGGAATATTGCTAAAAGCGGGTAAAACCATACTCACTCACTCAGTTAGGCTCAGAATTTTTTCCATGGAGGTTTTGAGGTTTCCCTGTGTTGGTGATCGGGGGTTGATGTCAGTTAAATTCAAAATGTCAACGCTTGAGAATAATCAGTCTCGACTATCTGCCGAAAGAAGTCGTAGAAGTCATATTTGTGTCAATTATATGAAGGGTTCACTGATAACCAGTGATGATAACAAGTGTTCGCGAAACGGGTAAGCATGTCCTGCCCTACCGGTGGCACCCGCAGTTTCATTAGAAAGGCCAGTGTCTCTTTGTTGCCTAACGCCGCACTGGGCCATGTTCCAGCAATAGGTGAGGTGAGGTGAAATGGGGTTTAACGTCGCGTCCAAGATTATTGCACTTATATAGCGACGTGCATGTACGTGTGTGTGTTTGTGTGGCTGCTTGTACTAGTCCGGACTGATGCCGATTTATAGTGCTAGCTCACTGAGATACCATGCCGCAGTTCAACATGAATACCCCACTCAGACACAGTAAACTGACTCCGAGCCGACCAGTCCTTGTTTAAGCCTCTTAATGCCGAGCGCCAGACAGGGTAACAACAAGTACCATCTTTTAACGTCTGTTGGTATGACGCGGTCGGGGATCGAACCCCGGACCTTCCGCTCTCCGGGCCGACGCTCTACCACTAGACCACGGAGGCGGTCTGTTCCAGCAATATGATGGGAGCATGTAAACAATCGAGTCCGGGGTATGTCAAGATGTGAATCAAGACGTAAAAGCTTTTGTGCTATGCATATTCATAATTCACATAAACAGAAAGAATACAGTGAACTACGGTTATAACGAACTCGTAATAACCGTAGTTCGTTATAAGCATATATACAGCATATATGCAACAAATGGCCGGTACTAAAAAATCAGTTTGTTTTATCGGTCAGTTCGTTATAAGCGTGTTCGTTATAAACATAGTTTACTGTATCAAGACCAAATGTGAGCTCCTAACATAGTATTATATATCTAGGTTGCTGCAATACAACACGAACAGGAATTGTTATACATGAGTTTGTCAACAGCCGTCTACAAACCTTTGCAGTGCCGCATACATTCATTAGTATTCTAAGGAGGGAAGACCCCCGTCCGACCGAAGTATTTCCCCACCGTGTTATTTGCAATTGCATGATAGTTACATTCTGGAAATAAGACCCGGAACTACAGCTTGGCGCCTGTTTGTCTGTCTTCATCAACACTTTCAGAAGTAACCGTGCCTTGTATACGAAAAAAAGAGTTCTGACCTTAAAACCACTTGCTACTGATGATATCCAAGCAAACATGTTAAACGAATTCATTCTTACACTGAAACAAACTGAAATGAAAGGCTAGTGTATTTTAACCAAACTGTAAATTTGTTATTCTGAATAATTCAGATAAATCTGTATATTACAAATATATGACTCAAACAATGTTATATAAGGCCCCGCTATTTGTCGTGTCGTGTTGCTTCCCTTCAGCGTGCCAGGAACCAACGATCGTGGGTTCGAACCCAATATTCGCTCTTGTTATGTTTCTGGGTTTGTCAGCACCAGAGAAGTCCTACTGGGTTTCATCAAGTGTTAAACGTCTCAGACCTGCATCACTTCGGGATTTCCTCCCACTTCCTGACACGCCGTGATGTAACTGGAATACTCAGTATTCACTCATTAAAACATCTCTCAAATGAAAGAAGGAGATTGGTGTTTTGCTTTTGTCATGAAGAGATTTTCGTGAGTGAGTGAGTATGGTTTTACGCCGCTTTTAGCAAAATGCTAGCAATATGTGTTTCGCAAATTGAACCCATGTTGGGAAACGAACCCTGGCATTATGCGTGACCACCAACCACCAACCTTTTGTTGACTCGGGGGCATTTTGCTGAATAATCAATAAGCAATTTTTAAAAATATTCCTTGGTCTTTCCTCCAAACGTTTTTTCCACAGAAATAATTGCAAAAGTATCACAGGGATATTTGCATGATAGGTAATGTTTTTTTGTGTTAAACAGTTTTATCAGAATATACAAAATATTCAATTAGGCGCTGTTTTGTCGAACTCGAAGGGAGCCGACACAGAGTTCGACATATCCGAATGTTTCTCAACGTCGATCACAACATCAAAAATATGATATCGAATGTAAGAAAACAGTACTGACTGAACCAAAATGTCAGAGAGCCTTAAAACAGAAAGTTTTATTTTGTCAAAAAGGGTTTCAATCAGAATATCTTAATGTTCATCTTAGACATCGTCCTGCCTCCATCTTGACAGATAAAGATGAAACTATTTCCAATTCCAATTTTGGCAATAATATAAAAACTTAGCTTGTAATTGTCCAAGCTTTAATATCCAAATAACTGAAATTTATCACGCAAGCACTTTACTGTGGAGAATATACCATGTCCGTGACTAAATCTATATTTCTTCTTCTCCTTCGTCATCATTTGAGCCTATTCTTGGATACAGGGAGACTGCTCGTCTCAATCTGAAGCTTTCTGGACGGCACAGTCAATAATGTATTGTGTTCTGTTTTCAAATACCATCTCAAGACCACTCCATAGAAATGAAAATTCGAGTTCGTAATTTACTCTTTGACAGCTGTTATTCATCAGTTGTCGATTAACATCCATACCCGAATATGTGGCCAAAATATGTTTTCGATTTAGCAACTTCTGTCAACTGCATAACAAAGTGTCACGTCCCGATTCTCTTGACGGAGTTGGTCCTAATCTGTTTAAATGCTCTCACTGAAGTCGTGTCTTTCGGTTGAGTTTGCTGATGCCTTTAGAACAAATATTGACTCTTCCCGAGCTGCTTCTATAAATGTACTATGCTACAATGTTATGGCAATGCAGCCACGATAACATCCCACATCGACGTGTTTCGTATTCAGTTTAATCGCAATTCCTATAGGGAGCTTGTCCGTCGTGTTTGCTCATTTAAATTTCATTTTCCGCGTTGAAAGATTCCCTGCAATTTTATGCGACATTGTGTAAAACCTCCATCAGTTTTCTGCATTTCTTCTATTGCGTGCACGTTAATTATGTTCCATATTGAAAAAAACTAAATAGAATATTGTAAGCAGATAAGAAGGCCTCGCTTTCTGGTTCATACGATCTCTGACGTGAGGGAAGCATTGAAACGAACACAATGGTATCATTGTATCAAGTAATGGACGCTCGTGTTCACCCATGGTGGACCACATTGTATTGTGTGGCAGCGCTGTTCAATTCCTCCGCTATTTGCCTTCATTGTGAAACTCCAATTAAAAATATCTCCAATTTGGTCTATGCGTGTACTGATTCCGATTTAGTCTGATTTATTTACTATTGAGACTACACCACCGCACTGATTACCGTGCTCAGTGCTACAGTGAAAAGACCTCATAATTGCGATAAATTGTCATAAAAAAACATTTAAGGATCAGCAATTTTAATGTTACTTGTTTAATATTTAGAATAAGTGTATATTATTACCAAAGTAGCACTGAATCATTTGTAAATACACGTTGTTTGTATCTTTAAATATTCTCTTTAACTAAAACCTAAAACTGGAACACAACCAAGCCATCTTAATCCTGGTTGATAAGGACTGGCCGCAACTTGGTTATTTTCTTTTAATCTAAACTGTTTGCGCAGCTGTCTTCTACGGTCTAGACCATGTGTAATAAGAAATCAAACCACACAGGGTCACCGCAGCCTAATAACGTTAAACAAGCAGCATCCCTGAAAGCTCGATGGTACATAAATATTTCTTGAATGATATATGTCTGGAATACACGGAGTGATATTAATTAGACACGATATGGTCTCCATCTATGATTCATAATGTTTTGTTACAGCCATGGCCCCTTTTGAAGAACAGTCTATGATGTTACCAAGGCAATTGAGAAGAATTAATAACTTTCGTCTTAAATATGAGGTTGTACGGTACGGTTACAGGAACAACCTATGGACGTCCACACAAACGGCACATTATTGGCACAATGGATATTGAAGAAGAGGTAAAACCGTCATTCAACTGGAAATTTATACTAATAACATGCACCACACAAAGATTCCAATCTTGAATCTAGCCATCGTGACCTTTAAGCTTCTATTTCGAGAAAGGGTGTCGTACAATGACTGGCATAAATGCATAAAAGTTAAAATCCCATGTCGCATTCAGACAAGTATCATACATAGGACAATACTAATCATCATTGAACACTTGATCTAAATTGGTGAAACGACATTAGAAATGCAGAACCAATATAGTCGACTGAATTGGTCATGTAGGAACCGTAAGTTTTCTGACGGTTAACGTCATACTGAAACAAGAAAACCAATAACTTGTATTGATTAACTGTAACTGTATGTAAATATGGCATTGGGATTGCATGGAAATAGCAATTTTAAGGAGATTGGGTTCATTTTTTTCTTATCATTATACAAAGCCTTACACATTTTTCAATGTTTATCTTTTGGTCAACCTACCTGTGTCCTACCTGACAGCCGCTCGGGTCATTGCTGTAGCGTCGCCGCTTAAGTCACACATAGGGCTGTAAAACAGGAAACATTTATTTAAAGTATTTGCACACATATCAAGTTATCAAGGTAAACGATAAAGTTGTATTTGAGGTGAGGTGAAATTGGGTTTAACGTCGCGTCCAAGATTATTGCACTTATATAGCGACGTGCATGCACGTGTGTGTGTGTGTGGCTGCTTGTACTAGTCCGGACTGATGCCGATTTATAGTGCTAGCTCACTGAGATACCATGCCGCAGTTTAACATGAATACCCCACTCAGACACAGTATACTGACTCTGAGCCGACCCCTTAATGCCGAGCGCCAGACAGGGTAACAACAAGTACCATCTTTTAACGTCTTTTGGTATGACGCGGCCGGGGATCGAACCCCGGACCTTCCGCTCTCCGGGCGGACGCTCTACCACTAGACCACGGAGGCGGTTGTATTTGAAATGTATGGGGTCACACATGGTGATGTTTCACCCATAACGCCCCTAATCTCATGGTTGGTCACATACGTTAAACATGGAAACAAATGTAGACTCTACATTCATGGCCAACTCGCCGTCTTGTCACAATAGCATTGCAACATGGTCTGTAGATGTCTATCGCTGAGAGCAGGATTATGCACAAGGATTACCACATATCAACACTGCATTAGCACAATTCCCCGATCAATACAGCATTGCACAGTATTATATATCTTTCCCCTTATCCCAACAACACCTCTCAGTATTACATAAACGTTTCTCTTATTCCCAATGACATTGGGGGCGGTCCGGTAGCCTAGTGGTTAAAGCGTTCGCTCGTCAAGCCGAAGACCCGGGTTCGAATGTGTGAAGCCCATTTCAGGTGTCCTCCGCCCGGGTTCGATTCGCAAAAAGATACCAAAAGACATTAAGGGTCTAAAACAAGGACTGGTCGGCTTGGAGTCAGTATACTGACTCTGTGTGGGGTATTCATATTAAACTGTGGCATGGTATCTCAGAGACCCAATACTATTGATCACACACACACACACACACACACACACACACACACACACACACACACACACACACACACACACACACACACACACACACACACACACACACACACACACACACACACACACACACACACATACACACACACATACACATACACACACACACACACACACACACACACACACACACACACACACACAAACAGAGAGGTGATTGCACGTCTCTACATAAGTGCAATAATCTTGAACGCGACGTTAAACCCCATTTCACCTCACCTCATATTACATTATTATGATATTAACTCCTCCCTTACCCCAATAACCATTGTACCATCATGTACAATATTCATCTATACCTAGTAACATTGCTCGTGTATTGTATGTCCTCTTCACTAATCCCAAAAGCATCGTTCTAATATGATACCAACTCCCCAATCCAAATAACAATGTACCAGGGTGTACATCTTTCTTCCAAGCTCTGTACTAATATTTGCAGTAGTCCTCAAATCACAACATCATCGGCTTATCTATCCTCAGTTCAATAACACTCTACCAGTGTACACAACGTGTTTCTAAATCCGATTCCACTGCGTTGGCGTTAACACATCTCCCTTAAGCTTAATAGCTTTAACTATTATTTTCGTTTCTACTTTAACCCCATTACCATTGCTACGGTATTTACAACACTGCTTTAAGCCCTTTGCCATTGCACCAATAGTCACAACACTTGTTTCAGCCCAACAGCACAGCACCGATATTTACAACTCTTCTTTACGTCTAACAACACTAAACCCTGTCCATAGCTACAATAACTCTCCTTAGAGGCCAACAGTATTGCACCAGTATTGACAACTCTCCTTGAAGCCCAACAACACTGAACCAGTATTGACAACTCTCCTTTAAGCCCAACAACACTGCACAAGTATTGACAACTCTCCTTTGAGACCCTCAACACTGCACCAGTATTGACAACTCTCCTTGAAGCCCAACAACACTGAACCAGTATTGACAACTCTCCTTGAAGCCCAACAACACTGAACCAGTATTGACAACTCTCCTTGAAGCTCAACAACACTGAACCAGTATTGACAACTCTCCTTGAAGCCCAACAACACTGCACCAGTATTGACAACTCTCCTTTAAGCCCAACAACACTGCACCAGTATTGACAACTCACCTTTAAGCCCAACAACACTGAACCAGTATTGACAACTCTCCTTTAAGCCAAACAACACTGCACCAGTTTTGACAACTCTCCTTTAAGCCCAACAACACTGCACCAGTATTAAAACTCTCCTTTAAGCCAAACAACACTGAACCAGTATTGACAACTCTCCTTTAAGCCCAACAACACTGAACCAGTATTGAAACTCTCCTTGAAGCTCAACAACACTGAACCAGTATTGACAACTCTCCTTTAAGCCCAACAACACTGCACCAGTATTGAAACTCTCCTTGAAGCCCAACAACACTGAACCAGTATTGACAACTCTCCTTTAAGCCCAACAACACTGCACCAGTATTGAAACTCTCCTTTAAGCCAAACAACATTGCATCAGTATTGACAACTCTCCTTTAAGCCAAACAACATTGCACCAGTATTGAAACTCTCCTTTAAGCCAAACAACACTGCACTAGTATTGACAACTCTCGTTTAAGCCCAACAACACTGCACCAGTATTGACAACTCTCCTTTAAGCTCAACAACACTGCACCAGTATTGACAACTCTGCTCTAAATTTCTGTTATTTAACAGTCACCTGGGTACGTAGATGTCAAACATGAACATATGCCAACAAGCGACAATAGATCTGAGCATATTGACAATGTGATTCATATTGTAGAACATGTTGATTGTGCCTACATGTATGTCATGCTGATTAGATCCTTATTGTATGACCTTCAATAATGACGCTGAGTATACGCCAGTTACATATAATTATGAATACTATTCGTATTGCGGCAACGCTAAGCAATCAGACAGATTCAGATCCAACCTGTCCGCTCATAATGACCTTTTCAAACGTTGAGTGGCATATTTCAGCTGTATAATCATGACTCTTATGTTACACAGTCTGGAAAAGGTCAAACCGTTTAAGGCAGCATGAGCGACGCTTCATAGTGTCAGAATACGCCAACACACATTCAGTCATGTCAAACATTGTAAGCATCTTTCACCATTGGATGCATATTCCACGACCAGAGTGAGTGAGTGGGGTTTAACGTCGCTTTTAACAGTATTCCAGTTATATCACGGCGTGTCAGCTTAATGTGGGAGGAAAGCCCGAAGTGATGCAGGTCTCAGACGTTTACACTTCGGTGAAACCCACGAGCACGGGTATGGTGCTGACAAGCCTAGAAACATAATCGGGGCGAACCGGGATTGGAACCAACAATCATAGGTTTCTGGCGTGCCCAAGGGACGCAACTCTGCCCAGCGAATCGCGGCGCCCTAGACGACTGGGCCACGCGAGCTCCCACCACGACCAGAATTGGTAGAGGGGATATATCCTACCACGAATCCCATAGGTCATAATTGAGTAAAAGTAATATATTCTTTTCCCTTTTTCCCAACCACTTTAAACTATCAACCAACAGTGTTCGATTTTAGTGACATCGGGTTGGAATCCAAGAATCGTCCTAATGATTCTTGTTTCTTCAACACCATTGGGTGGTGGGGTAGCCAAGTGGTTAAAGCGTTCACTCGTGGTTAAAGGGTTCGATTCCCAACATGAGTACGATGTACAATTTGGGGTCCCACGCCGTGATTTTGCTGGAATATTGCTGAAAGCTGCGTGAAAACATATACACAAATAAGCTATATCTACAAGTGTCTAATGTACAAGCTGGTTGTCGAGAATAACGCCATTCTCCCATGAAAAATGTTTCAGCAGTACATTTAATTTGTGTCACTTCTAATTACAAAAGGGTGAACATTTAACAATTAATTCAACGTGGCCATGGTGATGGGGAAGAGCAAATCATATTATTCTCGGCAGCTCATCTTGCTTGAAAAAACAACTTTGATAGTGTTTAAAGCGACGTTAAACCCAACTCACTCACTCACCCAAATCCCCACACACCCACACCCACTCACCATCTTTCAAGCCATTCTGCGATTACCTGTTGCTTTCACAAAGAGTTTGTTGGGGGATTTCACACCATGGGCGTTTGAAAAGCAAACTTCAGCTAAATAATGCATGGATGGAAAGTTCTGTATGAAAGACAGAACAACAAGCATTAACACACGTATCATATAGGTACTCATTGTTAGGTGCTATGGATAGTAAATCCAGTTGAACCTCGCTGTGTCGAACTCATGGGGAACTGGTGAATAATTCGAGTTATCCGGAGTTCGAGACATGAGGAAACTTTTAATGTTAATGGGGATACTTTGAACTCCAAAATATATTTTTGAGACAACCTGAAATTTTGTGTGTGTGTGTGTGTGCGTGCGTGCGTGCGTGCGTGCGTGCGTGCGTGCGTGCGCATGTGTGTACATGTGTGTGTATGTGTGAGAGCGGCTGGGTGTATGAGTGGGCGATAGGACAATTAGATAATGTCACCAATGCATCAAAATGCTGAGACGCCGTGACACACTCAGTAAACCGTGCTTCTTTTCTGTTAATTCATCAATTATTCATGGTCCTCTTTAAACATGTATATATCTGCATAATGGAAACAGTAGGTCGACATAACCGAAGTAACATCCACACACATACAATCCATGTTCCACGCATCGAATTTCCATATAATTCCCAAGACATTAAGTCATGATCGACGGCGGCAATAATAGGTAGTTAACAACGACACGAGTTGTCGCATTTGTTAAACGCAGGCAGTACAATATTGCATATCGCATTCAAATTACCTTTTTAATTTTAATGGGTTTAATGGCGCGATCGACTACGGAGATCTTAAGTGGAACTTTCAGTGGGCAATCCATCAAGAGATAATCAAATCATAGCATTTAGTTGTATTCCATCAGAAATGGGCTTGTCGAGTAGAGTCGAGCATGCTCTCTATCGACGTAGACTTCA